CACGAATTGATCTCTTTTTTTATTGGCTAGAGGCTTATAAGTGAATTTGGAATAACCCTCATTGAGAAAACGAAAGAGGTCGGTAATCAGTCGAATTGATTGGACCATATTCGACTCAATTCGATAATTTTATTCGCTTTCCATCTCTGCAGTAGATTACACCTTTCAGCTCGTCATTATCAACATGATCAGTCAAGCAGAACTACATAAACAAACGTAACTTAACGCGCACATGTGAATATATATGACAAACAACAACGACTAACTAGCAAAAAAAGAACATTATCGCATTTTGTTAGAATATTAACAGTAGAAATAAGGATATGAACGAAGAATATTTTCAATTGCCTCAGAAAAGTCCTCGTGAGTTGATCTCAGAATTTTAAAGTAAGAAATGAACTCTATAGCATATTTTTCTCTCAGTTCGACTGGCATCAATAGAAGTAGATGTTAATAGACGTGCCGGACAAATAGAAGTAGATGTTAATAGACATGCCGGACAAATAGAAGTAGATATTAATAGACCTGCCAGACATCGTCATCATCACCGATCTCACCATCAGAGTCCACGACCCAATGATGTAGCATCTGGTGCTGAGATGTTGACAAGAAATATTTATGTCCAAAACACTGGAGCTGCTATTCCCAGTGAATTATACCAGCAACAGCAGCCAAGCAATGTAACGTTTTTAGACCAAGGACAAATAGTACAACCTCAAATGATGACGAGACCAACGTTCGACCTGCAAGTTCATGTTCAACCTAGGTTTGTACTATTCATAGAAAGAACAAAAATAACTTTTTTTTGCCCTAGATTGCCACACTCAAACATAAAAGCACGAGCCATCATGATGTCGGACGATATCCTTGCTGCTGATGTTGCCAGCAAACGGAATTTTACTGGTGATCCTGCAATTGATGCGAAACAGGTATGTTTCCTATTGAAAGAAAATATTTAAAATTCGTTTTTCAATAATAGCCTATCTATGGAGTAATCAGTTTTGAACAAACGTCACGGGGTGTCCACATCACAGGCCGTATTGATGGTTTAGGACAAGGGACTTTACACGGGTTTCATATTCACGAGTTCGGTGATGTTAGTTCGGTAAGGGTTGGCCTTTTGTGTTGAGTTATATTTGAAGACAAAATAAATTTACCTGACAGGGTTGCACAACTACTGGCGCACATTTTAATCCGTTCAATCGTACTCATGGTGGTCTCAATGACGTTGAAAAGTCTGTAGTTTAGTTTGGCATTCGAATAACCAAAAGTTTTTTTTCTTTCTTCTTCTGCCAGACATCTAGGTGATTTGGGAAATGTAACAGCAGATGCTAATGGCGTAGTTCATCTCGACATACTCGATCCAATGATGTCTCTTTACGGTGACCACTCAATTGTTGGACGTGCTATTGTTATTCATGCGATGCCCGACGATCTAGGTCGTGGAGGGAATAAGGAATCATTGAAGACGGGAAATTCAGGCGCGAGACTCGCTTGTGGTATCATCGGATTTACAAAACCTTAAACAGCATGAACAATAGATGAACGATATTTTTTTCCTACAAACTTTTGTAACCAAGCATAATATCATATTCCTACATTAGTTAGATAAATAAATGATAATCAGGCTGCATATTTCCTTTTTCAATGTTTCACGAAATTTCGAAAGCATTAAGTTCTTATCAGCTTCATTAGAAGGTGAAGAGTAATTGCTAGAACAAGCTGAATAGATACTCTAACAGAAAAATGAGACAAATTGTTCTCATTGTCAATCAGAGTTGTGACACAATTAAAATAGCTGGCTGTTGCAAAAAAAATCAATAGCAAGAAATTATGTATATGGTCTTACTCACTGTTGTTAGTACAGCAATTATTCAGTTTCTTCGAATTCAATAATCAAGTCAACGAACGAAAAAAACCTAATCTCAAAATGCACCAATGAAATATGATCTGCGTTTATTTTATTCTTCTTATCAACATCCTGCAGTCGAATCTTCAATCTGTCATCGTCTGTCTCACTTTTTCTTATTGACATCAGTCTTGTCCTCCATTTAAATTTCCGTTATTATCTTATTGCGAATAAAACGAATGGAAAGAAACAAGGTAATGTTGATTGAAAGTTTTATTTCTTCTACTGTTCGCTTCTTCTACTTTCTAATTGGCGCCGAAGATCTATAAGAAAGAAGAAATCGTGACAAAGACGAAACATCGAGAAGGAAAACGATACTACATTTCAAGTCTTCAAGACTTTATGAGACTTCGAAATCACATCAGCACTTTACAAGCGTTAAAAATGTCATAAAAGTTCTATAACATTCAAAAAAGCCACTGTTTATCATATAAAAATAGCAAAAGAATCTGTTTTTCTGAAATTCTTTTTCACAATACAATTAGTACTGGAACATTTCGCTATAAACTAAAACAACTTTATTAACATTCCTATTACCAACCAGGATAATTTATTATTCATTCTCAAGTTGAGACTTTGTCCATAGTCAACAGATTGTGAATTGTTATTTTGAAATTTTTTATTTTATAGAAAGAAAAAAAAAACATTATTTTCATATATAAGGGCCGATACAGAACTTTTTGTACTTAGTTTAACTTTTGTGTTGGGTCGATTGTTCTTGTATTTCCTCTTGTTTTCTGTATCTAGCATTGCCAAATGAGCAAACAGTGGAGTGATTTGAACAATACTGGAAGTCGAGAACAAGCGATTATTTGGTGATTAGAGACTAAGAATGAATACGCTATATAAACTATATTCATAGTTCTGATTGACATTGGATACAGTTGATTCCTCTATCATTTTTCTGTTGTCGATATGAATCTTATAGACGATTGTTGAATCGTCAATATGATCATATTGTCTTATATGGAAATGATTTCATAATTGGCGAGTTACATTTCATTTTATTTCAAACATACGCTTTATTAGGTATAGAATTACAGAATTTTGGTCAATAGTCACCAACATTAGGTTTAACATTCTGTTACTAACAATGGCTCAATGGTATAATAGAAGCCTATCCGCGGATCTAATAGATTACAAATGACTTTGGGAGAACTTCAAACTTGCTGCAATCGTAATATAATTAATCGGTTAATATTATTTACACAATCATTGCTATCATGACAATCATTTCAATTATTTAATCACAAATGGCAAACTATTGAATATCACCGACTACCTTTTTAATACTTTTGATATATAAAAATAAAGGATTAATTATCAGACAAAGTATTTTCAAGAGAAAAGATTGAGAATTCCATTTTATTTAATTTGATTGCTGCGAGTATTTTTTAATGAGCAACGTTTCCAAAAAAGAAATATTTAACATGTGATCATAAAGTATCGAGAGTAGAAGTATAATAAAGTTCATCATAATTCATTAGCCAATGTGAAATACCAGTTATTATTTTAATTTTTGTCATAACAACTGAAACATTATTATCCAATAACACAGATAGTGTTCTAGAAAACCCAATTGCAGGCCAAACTACATTTTTATCTGTGTGAAATCAATTTCTTAGCATGATAAAGAGGTGGGTGATGTCTCCTTGAAAATATTTTATTTTATATTTTCAAAGTTTCTTCATATCAGAACATGATCAAAAGTACTATTTCTGAAACATGCACAGCGAAGTCTTGTTTAGTGAATTTCGCATTCGTAACTCGATGCAAGCTAAACAAATTTATTAACTAATAGATCAGACGTAAAAGGTACCTAAGAGAGGCCCGCTATAGAATCATCCTCCTGTGCTCAAAAGCAGTGGGAAGTTTTGTTCATTTTTTTCATTTGAGTATCTGAACTTTTGGGGCCCTAAAAATGATTAACTACGTTGTAACAATATTTTATTTAATTGATGGTCAGAGATATCACTGAAAGTTTTAGAAAACACATGACCAAAAGCTGGTTTTGATGTTTCTTCGGTGCATGAAAACAAGAAATCTTGGAATGATTTTTTTTTGATATACATAGGGTAGTCAAAAAGTTCTCGTAATAGTACTCTAAAATTTCATCCTGATTGATTTTATTCCTGATGTTAACCTATTCTAGTAGTGACATCTCTTATATATTAAAATACCAATACGAAGTTTCACAAGTATCTATTATGATAAATTTTTAATCAATTTTTTCAACACCTCTGTTTTCAGATGGATAAGCTTTGTATTCACTCATATATAAAAACTCGTTGGTTATTAGGTTTAAATGCTACACAAATTCATGATGAATTAACTGCTGCTTAAATGGAAAAGGTGTCGTTTCATATAGTACAGTTGCTCATTGGATTGATCGATTTTCAAGTGGATGAGAGTCGTTGGAAGATAATCCTCGTAATGGTCGCTCAATAGCCGTCACTACTAAACAAAATATTGATGCGATCCAGGACCTGGTGAATGATGAGACACATATTAGTATTGATTATGTTACTAACATCTCAGACACAGTCATCATATAAGCTATCGCGATGAATACTTGAAGATTTCAGTCAAAAATTAGATAAGAAAAAACATCATCAAAAACAAGTGGCATAATTTTGCATTATAAAATTGCGAAATCACATATTCAACATATTGTTCTCAATCTTTATTATCCTCAAGAGGACAAAATGAAAGTTCCCAAGTAGACCTAAAAAAGCTAACGATAGGTGTGACGAGTGGTCGAATCTTGAAAAAATTTTTTTTTCCCGTTCTGTTCGAATTTCGAGTCCTTCGGGCACCATCGAATTACGAGCCCTCGGACACATTTCGACCGCCCGAAACCCATCGAAATTCTGACTACTCGAAGAGAGAAGACCCATCGGCAAGATACTTTCGATTGCTCGACATGATGTTGATCACTCGAAGTTTATCGGAATATGGAGTGCTCGGTGAGAGCAAACTTATCAATAAAATAGTTTCGAGCTTTCATTTTAATTTTGGTCGCTGAAAACTTCTTCGAAATTCAATCTCTGAGTAGTCTTTCATTTTTATTCCAATGTCATTAGAGAATTTTTGTTTGATACAGGGCTTTACATAGTTCTATGATTTTAAAAAGATTATTCATCAACTATAAGTGGGGTCATGAGAGAATATTTTCACATTCCTGAAGAAAATATACTCATAATGAATTTTAGTTTTTGAAGATCTCAGACATTCCGAGCTCTCGATATCAATCCGATTTTCGATGACTCGTTAGCAAAGACCTATTGGATAGGATTATTTTGAATAATCAGTTTGGTTCAGTTCTCAAAATTATTGAAATAATTCAAGATTCTAAACTTAAAGTTAGTAGAAATGTGAGATTTATCGTTATTCTACGTTATTTCAATATTTCTGTTATTATTTTTTTATATATTCAAATTAATTACAATATATTGTAGTTTATTATTAAGCATAGATCTGAGCGTCCTACTTAATGCAATGAAACCTATAATAGATAGAACTGTTTTTCTCAATCATTGATAATTGCTATATTTATAAAAAAAATTTTGAAAAAAATTAACATTTAAATAAAAAATAAGAAATAGATGCATATTATGAAAATAAATTAAAAAAAATAAATGAACTTAATAAAAAGAAAATTTTTTTAATTATTATTTGAAAGAAAATAAAAAATGTCGAAGTTATATGTATTTGATGACGACATGTAGATTTATCTTAGATTAAAACGTCATGTTTAGTTCATCTGATCTATACAAGCTTTGTAATCGTAAGTACATATGTTCGAATCTTCTGCTTTGCAAAAATATTCGATAGGTACCGATGACTCGGAAAAAATGAGATACAGAAAGCAAATATTTTTTGAAAATTTGAGAAATTTCGGGTGCTCGGAATAGCGACCACTTGGAGCCCCGCGAATTTGACCCATCGAAACCCATCTAAATTCATCAAAGATGGGTGCGTTGAGGCCATCGAACTTCTAGATCGGTCCTTCAGATTGCTACTTTCCTATAGGTCGAGGGGTCTGCGATGAATGAACGATTTTCAATTTTATCAACCCATCGGAAGCCTCAGATCGACATATCGAAACACCTATCAAGCGGTAGCTTGGGTTATGGATCATCTACCATACTCATCTGACCGTGCTCCTTCAGACTTTTGGTTGTTCGGTTGTCTGAAACGCAGCCTTGATACATATCCAGATGCTACAAATTTAGCTAAACCAATAACCAACGAGCTCAATTCAATATCTATTCAAGAATACTGAAAGACATTCTCGAAGTGGATTGAAAGGATGAAACTTTGTATTGAACATCGTGTGGATTACTTTGAACATTTACTGTAAAAAAGATTAGCAAAATGTTTTTTCTATGAATAGATTTTTGAAAGTCCGAGAACTTATTGACTAACCTATGCATAAGACGAACTTCTTCACCATTCAACTATCTACTTACGTTAGTAGTGAAATCAAAACTGAAGGATATAATGATCATCCGGTAACTTTTGGAACAAGTTTGTTGAGCTAATATAGTATGATTATAGAAGAGCGATTAAATTTTTACGATAAACCAATAAACATACGTCGATGGAAACAAACTTAATTCTTGTATGGAGCTGTATGTTTACTACAAAATATAAAAAATTTGCATGTCAACGCAGAATCACTCCATTATTGATTTTCATAAATAGGACCTTTTTGGATTAGCATGCAAGATTTGGGTGTGGGTGTGGGCATAAATGAGGAGAAGATTAGCACCCACACGCACACTCTCAAGATTCAGTACAATGCGTATCTGAAGCTCATGAAGGAACGTTTCTAAGTGTCAAATCGATCTTGAGACAAAACTATGTGCATCGTGAAGGTTCTAATGAGCTATGAATATTCTGAAAAAAATTCGAGCTAATAGCTTATTAGTGCTGAGATACTCAAATTTTTAGCACAATCTCGTGGCCTTGTCAGAAATATACGGAAAACTGAATTTCGAGTTTCGACTGCAAAATTTATATAGGGACATATCTTAATGAAAATAGCGTATTGTAAAAGTTTGAGATCTTTTGATTGATTCTATTCAAAAATATGATTATGAGAAAAGCATGTTTTTCATGAAACTTTCGCTATAAGCTATACACATTAAGGCATGTCTCTATGCAAAGTTATAAGTTGGAATTTAAAACTCAGTTCTCTTAATGTGTCTAAGTGGAACTATGGCATTCTACTATACGATAAAGGATCTCTGCAATAATTAGGTATTGATTCGAACCCTTTTGAGTGTGTTTGTAGCTCATTAGAATCTACATGATGCACATTATTCCGATTCAAACGTCATTCAATATTTAGAAACGTCTCTTCGTCAACACATTTACTGGGGCATTAAATGTCCATTATTTTTCAAGACTCAGTTTGAAATGAAGAAAATAATAGATTTTCTATAGTGAATCTATTAATAATCTATTGAAATATGTCATTTCATAGACCAATACAAGTCATTTAATCAAATAATCTCTTTGATTAATTGCAAATTTATATATTTTTATTTTATTGTATTTGATTGAAAAATCTACTTTTGTTGCTGTATATTAGTTCTTAAAATGTTCCATCGATATAATCCAGCAACGCTTCAGTATCTGCTTGCTTTGTTTCTTCTAGTTTATTTCGTATATTGACAATCATAAATACAATAATAGTAATAAATAGAAACATATTGACATATGTAAGAATAATCATAGCCAAAGCACCACGTGTGACTATCAGTTGACAATAATTTGATTCTGAATTACTATTAATTTGAGTAGCTTTTGAATAGACTGCGTAAACTCGAATTTGTATGAGAATAAAGAAAATCAATGTAATTGCAACAAAAGTAAAACTAACAAGGCCTTAATAATATTAAAAATTCATATATTTGTTTTTATTTATTAAAACAAAAAATACATACGAACAAGAATTTTTGATGTTTTTGTAGGAACGTCACTTTGGTATTTATTAAGTGAAGAAATTATTTTTAAAAAAACATAAGTTGTACCTAAGACAAAAAGTGCAAATACACCACCAATACACATAAATAATGATAAATCAGATGCTGCTTGACATTGTTGGTTAGGATTGTCTCCAATTTGAGCAAGATATTTAAATCCAAGAAAAAGTTGAACTATAGGAATAATAAAAGTTATTGTAACACATAGAGCTATAAACAAATATGCAGTGATATTTTTCATCTTTATTTTATAACACTTGTAATATCTTAAGCCCACTTAAACTTTATATCACTATCACTATATATGATCCTTTTAGCGACAATATAGTGACTCTACATAGAAGAAGAATAGGAAGAAAACCCATAGAACAACATGAAAGCAACAAGAACAGACAGCAAGGAAAAATGCAACATAAATGACGAAAAAAGGAACATTCCATGGTGTATGAATAATAAAAAAGGAACAATATCAAGAAAATATACGTATACATATAACCATATGGACATAGAGGAGAAAACCTTATGACAGCATCTAAACAAGATACAAATCATAACAATGCTTGGCTTCACTTACAATTATTCAGGTGACAAGAGAAAGAGAAACAAAAATGAATGAAAAAAAAAGAAGCAAATGAGCATGTACAACAAAAGTAAGCTTAAAATGACAAAAGCAACTGGTATCTATAAGACACATACATGATTGATAAGAGATAAAAACTAATGAACATCAATGAGAAGATGAAAAAAAAATTCTTTTGCTTTTATCATATTTATTTTCTTGTTGTTCATGCCATTTTTGTTGATGTGTTATTGATATTGATAATAATGGTAATAAAGCACATGCATAGCCAGAAAAAAGACAAACACGTGCGTGCCGTAACATATCAAACGTATGACGCATATCTCATGATTCAAGTAACACTAATAAATTTTTGTATTCAGTTTGATTAACAAGTTCACTTTTCATTTGTCGTTCTTCAATAAAATATTTTTCATGATCATTTTCATTATTAATTAATTCTGTGATATCATTAAATGAATATATTGATTGAATTGAACAATCATGAAATGCAACTTGCTCATTGTTATCAAGTTGAGCTGAAAGTAATGGATAATGTTGAAGAATCATTGAAGCAAAATTCAATCGTTCATCTGCACCACTTCAATCTTTATTAACAACGTTCATTACCATGAATCTTTTAAATATACCAAAACAAATATGAGAATTGATGAAAATCATCGAAAAATGACTCATATCTTCGACTAATTTTAATCACTTGCCTTGATTTTCTCTACTAAGTATCATGCTCTAATCAAGTTTTTCTTCCAAATTTTCGCGATTACAGTTATCAACTGCGAAGAAACTCCTAGTAGACATGGAAAACTTTATTGGTTCATAAGAAGACGAAGGTAAACACATCTACATAATCAAAAAATCAGAAAAATTATGAGTGAACTCATAGTAAAGGGTGAGTGTGGGTGTGGGTGTGAGTATGAGGGTTTGGGTGAGGGTGTGGGTGTGGGTGTGAGGGTTTGGGTGAGGGTATGGGTGTGGGTGTGGGGTGTGGGTGTGGGTGTGGATGTGAGTGTGGTTGTAGGTGTTTATCGTGTCTTCACTTACACCCACACCCCACCCCCACCCCACGCCCACCCACAGCCACACCCGCAGCCACACCCACAGCCACACGCACACGCACACCCACACCCACACCCCACACTCACCTCATTTGTTGATGCACTCTTATCCACACCCTTAAGATAGTTAAACAATGGTTGATATGTTTCAAAATTCGTTTTAGCCAATAGCTTAAGTCATGATGTCTAGAGCATTGATAAAAAAATTATAATTTAACAAGGAGCAATGACGCATTTGTTTTATCATTCATTGTGGAATTGATAAAATTTATAAATGAATAAAACATAAAGAAAACTGATTGATGAATATTTGGCGTGAATCTTGTTGGAAACTCGTATTGTTTGCTATTTCAAAAGAATAAACAGGAGTTAGATGAAAAGAAAAACAAAAATTTGCATAGTTTTTCATAACGACAAATAAACAAACAAAAACAAAAAAGATCAGATTCCAATCTCAACTGCAGCATATATATATATCTAATGGTTATCGGCCAAGGGACAAGTGACGTTTATCACATTTCCCTATCTCACACTTCTTGACCTGAAATGGTTGTATATCGATCATGTTGAAATAATTCTGTTGAAAAAGAAATACATCTACGTCATTTATTAAATCTCATGATCAAATAAAAAGCAAAAGTGAATTTGTCTGTTGCAGGAAAAGCGGCAAATCTTGCGATAATCTAGATTATCGAAGTAGTGAGTCAGTAGTTTCGAAATTCTAAAAGCGTGTTCGTTCAGTTGTCATCACATCAGCGAGCGAGCAAAGGTTTTCCTCGCAACGTATTGAGCAGGTGCAGTTGAGAATCTTTAAGATTGGTTATCGAAGCCAAGTGCACTTTCGCCTCATGGATAAAAAAGAGATGATTCAAACAGTGCATTGGTTGCTGAGGATTTGAATTTGCATCACTGGCCAGCAGGTTGTGACTGATCGATTCGTGTCACACTTGGTAGTGTCATTATTCATGTCCTTATATGAGGACTGTTTTTGGGCTCCTAGTGTAGGCCATTTTTTTGGGTGTTGGCAATTTTTTAGATCTTGAATTTTATATAATTAGAGGCTGTTTGAAAAGCTCTACAAGATGAGACAAAAAATTTTTGGTGGTTTACCAATTGAAATTATGAGAGGGTAAAACGAGGAAAAATACACTCTTTTTATATCTGTATTTTTCATGGATTCTGACCATCAGGACCATAGAGCTCCAAATCTCAACAACAAATATATTTCATAATTTCTAGTATTTTGTAGAGTATCTCAGTGACTATCAAATGAAACTGAAATGAGCTCGATCGCTTTAACTATTTTCGAAAAAATGTCGAAATATGACCTCCACTAAAATCTAGGTCAAAAAGACATAACGACCAAAGGGGTGAAAATCTCAGCATAGGCTAAAAGTTTTCGGCTACGATTTTAAATCGAAAAGATTTGGATTTGTCAGTAAAAATGAATGCTCTTTCGAATCGTACAGTTAAAATCGAAAATGAAAATTTGAGCTCCGGCTGCTGTCCAAGAAAATGTTCGGTTTTTTCGCGGAACCTCTCAAACATCAAATGATGATTTCATTTTTTATTAAATTTTTTTTTAAATTAAAGACAGACAATATTTATTTTATGACAATAATGATGAAATTTCTAGTTGACTATAATTTCTAAAAAAACAAATATTAAATACTGATATTCGTTCCTATTACTTTTGTTGTTATTGTAATTCTTTTTCTACATTTTTATCGATTTGTTTTTTTCGTTGTGATCAATATCTTTTAAAGATCTACATAAAAAAAAAGAAAGTTTTTTTTACAATAAATCATTCATAAGAAGATAAGACCTAACAAAAAAACAAAATCTATTAAACTTACCCATCATTTTCATTAATATACTCATTTACTGATGTTTGCACAAGTAATTGATTATTTTCATCCTAGAAATTAAAAACAAAAAAAGACTTGAAGATAATGTGTTATGTCTGATACTTTTCATCTTGAATTGAATAAAAAAATTTTCGTTATCAAAAAATTGTTCGCTTTGTATGATCAAATTCTCTCGAAAATAATGAATATCTATTGAATTTTTTCGCCTTTTATCCAATCAATCATTTCATTATTCTAAAAAAAAAGAAAAGTTAATCAACTAAGATTGAAAAAAAAAACTGTTTTAAAAAAGTCCAATGAACCGAAATGATCAGTTTTTCTCTCAGATGTTCGTATTTGTCTGCGTGTAAACAAAAAAGTATCAAGAAATGGAAAGATTTCCAATGATATCTATAAGAATATTTAATAATTTTTTATTTACAGAGGCAACCATAAATTATGCTTTAAATTGTAAATAAATAAGTAACAAAAAATTTTATTTTAGAGTATTGATGAAAATGAAAACATTATATTTGTTATTTAAAACATTTTCATCAGTTTTATTTTCTTCTTTCCAACACTTTGACAACAAACTGAATTGTTAATTGTACTGAAATTAGTAGGATCAATTCTATCTTATCAGTTTGTTCAATATAATTTTATTTGTTGATAATAATCAATTATTTGATTAATACTTATTGAGCATTCTACTAGAATAGTCATAATATGATTATGTTCTATAAAATATCTTATTTTGATTAAGATTTACTGAAACAAACTCATTTCGAAGCAACTATTATTTATCTGGATATACATTCACAGTAGGAATTATCGTTTAATTAAGATCATAATATTTCATTTTTATCAATGTTTTTATTTAAAAAAATTTCCAGAGATAAAAAAACAAATATTAAATAAAATGACAAAAGAACTAGTTTATCTTGCATTAATTCAAAATAAAGAACTAAATAGAAAAGAATAAAAATAAGTTTATTCAATCAAACAAGAGCATCATCAAGTAGAAACGTCGATGAAGTTAGCGGCAGATTCAACTTTTTTCAACGAATATTCGCATATTAACCTGTGTCTAAGAAGCTTATTAGTGTGTCTTGTACAATTCGACGAGCTCTATCCAGTGATGCAATCAGATGTTCCATAGTCGAAATTATAGCCCAGAAAATATCAAAATACTGTATTTTTTGAATGAAATTCTGGCACCATATTCGAGTAAAAGCTGTCCATATTCACTTCCTCCACTGTATCAATTCTGAAAATACTTATGTTCGGTGCAGCTCGATGAGCTCTATCCAACGGTATCCTCGAATCTTCAGTAGTTCAAAGTATGATTTTTGGGCTAATAGACGGCGCTAGAAAAAATTCGAAAATCATAGTTTGAGCTATCGAAGATCTGAGTATACCGTTGGATAGAGCTCATTGTGTTGCACCGGACACAATTATTTTCAGAATTGACACACTGAATGAAGAGAATATAGGCAGCTTTTACTCGAATATAGTGCCAGAATTTCATTCAGAAAATATAGTGTTTTAAGATTTCCAGGACCATACTTTAGGTTATGAAAAATCTGATTACACCATTGGGTAGAACTCGTCGAGTTGTATAGGATACACTGATGAGCTGTTTAAAACACAGATTAATGTGCGAATGTTCACTGAAACAAGTCGAATCTGCTACTAACTTCACCAACGTGATTAATCGTATCAAACATTAAAAGTCGTTTATTATATTAATTTATTTGAAATGTTTGATATAACTCTGCATTGTTGAGCATTTCAACACCGCTAAAACCACCAGTAACTAACACATTTCCATTTGCTAATATGGATGCTGTGTGCCGAGATCGCGCACTATTCATGTTGCCAGTAGTTGTCCAAATTTCTGTTGATGGATTATACAATTCAGTGCTACTAAAACTGCGGAAATTTCCCTGTCCACCAGTAAGTAACACGTTTCCATTTATTAATACGGATGCTGTATGTTGCTCTCGTGGATCATTCATGTTACCAGTTGTTGTCCAAGTTTCAGTTGATAGATCATACAATTCAGTACTATTGAGAGCATCACGATTATTTCCACCAGTAACTAACACTTTCCCGTTTATTAATAAGGATGCTGTATGATGCTCTCGTGCATAATTCATGCTACCAGTATTTGTCCATGTTCCTGTTGACGGATCATACAACTCCGCACTATTTAGGGCACTAAAATTATTATATCCACCAGTAACTAATACTTTTCCGTTTGTTAATAAGGATGCTGTATGGTGCTCTCGTGCATAATTCATGCTACCAGCATTTGTCCACGTTCCTGTCGATGGATCATACAACTCAGCACTATTTAGAGCTCCAAGACCATCATTGCCACCAGTAACCAATACTTGTCCATTTGTTAATAAGGATGCGGCATGCCCATCACGTGGATGATTCATATTACCAGTAGTAATCCAAGTTCCTGTTGATGAATCATACAATTCAGCAGTGTTTAAATTGACACCATGTGTCCCACCGGTAACTAACACTTGCTCATTTGTTAATACAGATGCTGTATGTCCCTCGCGTGCATTATGTATACTACCAGTAATTGCCCAAGTTCTTGTTGATGGATCATACAACTCACTAATAGTAGGAT